TCCCTCTCCCTCTCCCTCTCCCTCTCCCTCTATCTCTCTCTTTATCTATCTCTCTCTATCTCTGCGCGCGCGCAGCCTCTCTGTCTGTTTATCCCTTAAAGAGGAAGGGGTGGGGTGTTTATAGTGTAGCAGTTATCAATGATACTTCTACTTCTACTTTTTCTTGTCTTCTTATACCACATTAAGTTAAGGTGTTCAGGGGAGATGCAATAAATTGTCGGACGTGGGTCAGTTAACTCCATCGATTCATCTTTCCCATGTAGGTTTTGTAGAGGCCGGCTGTTGAGGCCCTATTCTCAATACATGTCCAAACACATACTTGTATTGTCTCTCGATGTATTTCATGCCCGATTCTGCGCCATGTTGTCTGATGTTTATAAAGTGAAACTCGGATATAACGAAGTCGTCAGGCCTGACCTTCAATTTCGTTGAATCCGAGTGTTCGTAATTGCAATGTAAGCAGCGAGTTGCATATTAAGGTAGGGCTCAACATATGGCAACATTTACTTCCATAGACCAGTATGCAATTCGTTACGTACGTAGATCTAGATGTCCTGGCTTCCCTCGTTGCTCTTTTCAGTTCCGGGTTCTCTCGGTTGCGTACCGTTGGTAGGCTTGTAACGGCTTCCTTTTTGCTCTCCACAATTTGTCCAGCTCGTCATTCCACCTTGCAACTGGGTGATCTCCATTTGATCCATCTTCCTGACTGGGATTGCTTTCTTCCTGAGATTGCTGATAAGGTCTTTGCCCTTGACTTCATACGCGAATGCCGACCAGGCTGAGATTGGTGGTACTATTCAATTAGATCTACCAACAGTGATGGCAGAATTGACAGCATGGTTTGACGACCACAGAGAGCATGAAGGCATCACTCCACACACAATGGATAAACTGAGGGAAGCTAGTGTCTCTTGAGGCTGCGTGGAAAAGCCAGAAGAATATCCAACCAGCTATTAACTGGCACGATCAACAGGCAGCCTAGACCCATTCATGGATCCTGGAGAGGTGGGAGGATAGCAGCTATAGCATTGTGCCGTCTGCAATGATGCCTATTCTCCAACCAAGCAAGATTATGTAAGTAAGAGGTCCAGGCTACCGTTTCGAATTGTTCAGCGGCCGGAAGGTGGGATTATGACTGTTGTGACACGTCTGGGTTTTTGCCCACTTTCCACGACCTTAACACTTAATATTGTGCCTAGCCTAGACACAAGTACTAAAACAGCCACACGGCCCACACGTGTGCTGGCCGCCCGGCCGATCTTTCTCGACCCGACATGCTATGTCTAACTCACGCGTCAACAACGCTCATGTTGGTGTGAACGATTCTGAACGAAGATACTGATGTACACAAAAGTCTAGCCTAAGCTAAGCTTGTAACTGTGCACGTGCGGTTGATGGCCTCTTGGAATGGATAGGGCCTAAGGTAAATTATTAGTTGCTGCTGAAGGGAAATGCTCAACGCCACCTCCGTGGGGGCTGTTGGCCCTGAACGCGACTTTGTTGAATCCGAGTTCGCTCATGAGTTCGTTACATCTGAGCTATTTAATAATTTATTTAAATAAATTTAAAACAAAACAAAAACAAACAAACAAACCACTTTCTTGTCTGACGTGACCATGCTTCTAAGGTATTTTAATTCTTCTACAATTGTTTCAGTCTTGTCGGATATTTCTTTTGCCATTTTTGGATCAGTCAATGTTTCCCTCCACGTACAGTAGGAGCTACATACTTCTTTATTTGCTAATAGTAAAGCAAAGGAGAAAAGAAATCATACTTTTAGGTAGCAAACCGAAAGTTTTATAACTCTTTTAGTACTCTCTCACTATTACTAGATTCTAAGTCGTGTAAATTGAACAAGCGTCTAGCCTATCCCAAATTTAAAAGTTTGCGGATGGTGGGACAGCCACATCTGCAGCCTGCGGTCTTGTTAACACATTGCGGCGGTTCATATGGAAAAATCTGGAATATGAATTTTATTTCCTTGATTGCCCCCCTTCCTCTTTCGTTTCTTCTGCTGCCAACAAATTGGACCAAGTCTAGGCATCGTCAAAATGCAAGCCGTAAGATCCTTCATTCGACCTGTAGCCTCTGTTGTGGGAAGACGGTGTATTCAGACCAGCAGTGTTGCAAACATGCCCGTGAAGGTAGGCTGTTCAATGTCTGTTTGTTGGGTTATTTTTCTGACTTCACAACGTGATTTCATTTTGGTTTTGTCCTTTCCAAAGTCATTTGTTTCGACCGAGCACAGTTCCTGTTCGCAGCATCAGCAGTTCAGCTCTTGTTTTTTTTTTTCAAGACAGATTGACTCGAAACTAACGAGATCTGATTGATCTTATATAAATCTCTTGGCTTGGTTTTCGGGACTCCTGCAATCCTGCAACTTAAATTAATTTTGAGCACGAAATTTATTTTTTGTAAGTCGTGGTAGTAGTGAATGTCATGTTGACTTTTGTGGCTGCTTGTACAAAAGGGAGAAAAAAAAGACTGCAGTGCAGTGAGTCATGAAAGAAAAACTCCAAATTTTTGCTCAAATACTTGGTAAGAGGGGGGGAGGGGGGTCTCTCGTGGTCTAGAGGTTACGGCACTAGATCTACTTGGATATGGTGGTCCCGACTTTTGTGACAGGGAAATATAACATAGAGAAAATCTAGAACGATTACTTCTGGTTCTAAGTCTAAACTTAAACGATTACATTTTGATTCGCGTGCCGGAGAGATAGATCTAGATCTATATATCTAGCCTTTCAAACCTAATTGCAAAAAAACCTCAAATCATGGTCAAATTCAGAGGGGCATGCCCCCCTGAAACACCCCATGTTTGTTGTTTTTTTAAGTCAGGGGGGAACCCTCCTTGCTTTGTGAAAAACATGTGAAATTTTACTGCTCATTTTGTAGGCTAGATTTAGAATACTGATAAAACATTGATACCGACTATTTGAATCAGTATCGATATTTCAGTTGCCTACACTACGCAAAAGTCGGGACCACCAAATCCAAGTAGATCTAGTGCCAAGGTTACAGTGGTTCAGGGTTCAAACTCTGACAGCGACGGAAAATTTTCTCCTTTCACCTGTCCTGGCTCGCTAACCATTATCTGTTGTCTGCTTTCTTTTCCATTTTGTGCCCTCACCCACCCACCCCCCACTTCCTTTGCCCCCTCCTCTGGGCTCCTGACTCTTTCTGCTGACTGCCTACTGTTAATCCTTGACTCCTTCTTACTGAGTCCGGCAACACTCCTGATCTAAGGGTTGGTAAGATCTAACACCTTGCCCTCTGGGATAAGGACGAAAAATCTTGGAGGTCCCGTGTGCAGCAAGTTGTGCACCTTAATATTAAACTTGAAGATCCCTTGGTGGTCCAAAATGAATGAGATTAGGATGCATTTTTTGTTGCAAGTTTTATTTCTTTTTATATGGTTAAGCGCAATTTTAAAACCGAACGAAATGTGTTTGGCAAGGGAGACCAAATGTCATAGTATAGTAAAACAAATTATTAAATGGGCTGGCACCACTCGGCGAAGGAATTAAACTTCTGTCGCAAGTTCGTGTTGACGTCCATTGTTATGGACTGAGTTTAAGGACTGGGTAAAACAGTAAAGCCTAAACAGTGACATCTTATTTCACTTACCATTTGTGTATGAGTTGTGGGTGTGACTTCATAAATTATAGCCTAGGTTATGATGGATCACACGCTTCCCTGACTAGCAAATAGCTGAAAATTTATTTTTACCGATTGGTCAGTTTGTGCAAACACTGGGCTGGGAGCGACCTGAGCATTGGAGAGACTAACAATAAGGACAGGTGAATGGAAGGCTTGTTCACAGCATCAAATGCCACTGGATGCATAATTTATGACAAAGATTCGGGCAACGAGAGCTTTGCGTGGCTGTCTCAGATGGGTGTAATTTTGGTTGTTAGCTGATGAATATATATATATTTTCACAAAATCAGCACTTTTCAGGTTAGCCCGCTTATCCTTAAAAGCGACCATTTATGGGGGTTGCATTGGATAGAAGTGACTGGTTTACATGGAGAAAGAAAAAACACAGGGGGGGATGGAAAGTGATGGTTTGTACAGGTGGCCCTTATGGCAGGTTCGACTATTTTAATTAAAATTGTTGCCTACAAATCTAGATCTTTTATTCCCACACTAGTATAGAGGTCGCTGTGGTATAATCAATTAGCCAACCTGGCATTGTATTAGACATCTACACTTGGTTGTACTGCTCGATATGAATCTGGCTTGGGGTTGGCCTGCTGAACACAATGATGGCTGCACGTTTTTCTGTTCCTTAGTACAGACCGTTCATTGTAACTTATTGTAAGTGATTTAAGTTACCCCGAGTGGCCTAAGTAGCCTCGGCTGACGGTAGGTAAAACGCCACAGTCACATCCCTGAGCCATTGGAGATTTTTCAATTGGTTTTTCAAAATTATTGAAGTTCTACACTGTTCTTTACTAAGAACTTGACTGGTAAAGATTTTAGTGCCAGTATTTCCAGTGCCCTGTACACAAGACTCTTCTACAGACTGCCCGATGATGCGTAATAAATGGTCTTTTGCCATATAAAATAATTGAATACAGTTTGCATTAATTAACTTCCTATGTGAAGTGTCATTCTCTTCTCGTCCCTCCTGATTTAACAAAGAGTTCTGTCAGTCTCATTAATCTGGAGGCAGTTAAACTGTTTTCAACACTGTAAATGTCATCTTGTCATCTTATTTTGGATACTAAATGTTCAACAGTCTTTTAATGTAATTTTTTTATATATGTGTTCTGTCCGTCAGGCCAGTGACAAACTTCCCTCTGTGGATTTGTTTGAAGGAGCCCCAGACGCCAAAGTGAACACTGGTGATTTCGGCAAAGGCAAAGTTGTCATCTTCGGAGTGCCAGGAGCATTCACACCAACATGCTCAAAG